GGTGACAAAAGTAATTCGTATTAATCGGCGGGGATATTTTTTATCCATCTTTTAATTTTATCCGCAGAAAGTACGGTGTTTAGCGGTCGCTGGGTTATATTAAACCCTGGTATGTCGCGGATGACATATCTATTATTACCTAAAACTTTGTGGACCACATACGGGCCTTTATATGACGGTTTTAATTTTGCACTTTCGCCAGGTACATTTCGTATATTTCTAATCAAGACATATTCGCCTTCTTTATATTCCGACGGTCTACGAAATCGGTTGTCGGTATAAATCTTATTATAATTTCTAATGACATCGGTTGATTCATTCGCTTTTTCTCGTGCTTTATTTCTCGATTTTTCTAGATCGGAATCTATATTTACGAGTGATTCGACGAATTGCGCGAAACGTGCGTCGTCATGGTTACGCTGATCGAATCCAAACATTAGCCGCGCTGGGCTTGACTTTGTTGTTGAATGGTGAGTATTATTTATAACATATTGTAAATTTCCTAGTTCTTTCTCCCATTCTACCGGGGATGATAATAATTTTGTCATTGAATTTTTCAGAAATCTATTTATCCTTTCCACCATTCCGTTGGCCCACGGCGCAGCGACGGCTACGAGTCGGTGTTCGATCGAGAATTTTTTAACAAATTCGGCGAATTCATTCAAGGTAAAGGCAGTACCTCTATCTGTGATAATATTTATCGGTTTACCAAATAATGTAAATATTTTCTCTAATTGTTTTGTAACCTCTTTAGTCTTCGTAGATTTTACGGCTGTCAACCACGTGAAGCGAGAGAACGCATCGACAATTACCAGCACGTGTTTATATCGATTCGCAGTTTCCGGCAAAGGACCAAAATGATCAATATGGAGGATCTCCATTGGAAATTTAGGTAATGGATAAAGAGATGTTTCTCTCTCGTTACGATTTATAGATTCGTTTGACATGACGCAAGTTAAACAATTATTTATATATTCAGATATTCTTTTTCTCATTGCAGGAAACCAGTAGGTCTTAAAAATACCCTGATACGTTTTTTCTGTACCGACATGAGCCATATTATCATGATGGGCTCGTAGGAGACTTGGAATCATCTGTTCCGGTACGCAAAATTTATAATCTTCCCCTATTTTTTTATATACCAAACCGTCTATTAATTTGAATTTATCGTTATCTTTATATTGTAGATCGTTGCCGATTTGTTGGATTTTCGGATCGGAAAGCTGCCGGAATTCGAGTTCCCGTTCTAACGGCAGTTCCTGTATGTATCCGATACTGCGACTCAGCGCGTCCACATGCTGCATCTGTTTACCAGCACGGTGAGTAATTTTAAAATAATAATTTTGCAACGCGAGTGTCCAACGTGCTATACGCGGGTTTAAATTTGCTTTCGTGACCGCGTATACTAGCGCATTACAATCGGTAACCACAGTGAAATGAATTCCATATAAATATATATGAAATCGTTCGATCGATCTCACAATTGCTAACATTTCTAGTTCGAATGAGTGATAATTTTTCTCTGCCTGGTTAGTGGACTTACTAAAATATGCAACAGCGGCAAATATACCATTTGGTTGCTTTTGGAGTAAAACTCCACCTAATCCCGAGCTACAAGCATCGGTATGAAGCTCTGTCTCTGCCGACGGGTTATATATGGACAAAATCGGATACGTCGTGAGTTCTTTTTTTAACTTATTAAATGATTCGAGACAATTGTTATCGAAATTAAAATCTCTGTCTTTTTTCAGAAGATCCTGTAGTGGTTTGGCCTTCAACGAGAAGTCACGGATAAATTTACGAAAATAACCAGCAAGGCCAAGGAAACGCTGGATTTCGTGTACGTTCGAAGGTACTTTAAAATTATTAATAGCTTCGGTATGTTTTGTACTCAACGTTATATTATTCTGCGTGATTATGTATCCGAGGAATTCTATTCTTTTTTTAAGAAATTGACATTTAGTATAATTAACTTCGAATTTATATTTTTTTAAGGTTGTCAGCACCTTCTTCAACAATAATAAATTTTGTCCGATCGACTCAGTAGGGATTAATATATCGTCCATATAGACAATTAATTTTTCTTGTCTAATCAACGGATTCAATATCTGCAAGATCCGTTTTTGAAACTCGGCTGGGGCCTCTGAGTAACCGAACGGTAAGTACTTGTACTCAAATTGACCTTCCGCGGTCGCAAAAGCAAAATATTTCGTACTATTTTCCTCAACTTGAATCTGATGAAAGCTATCTTTCAAATCTAATAATGTGAACACAGATTTATTATGAAGTTTAGATATACAATCTTCTATGTTCGGAAAAGGATATTTTTGCTTAACTATTCGGCTATTGAGAGGCCTCAGGTCGACACACATCCTAATTTGACCGTTCTTCTTTTTAACAGGTACTACTCGAGAGCAGTAAGGCGACGTACTCGGCTTTATGACTCCTCGCCTAAGAAGATCATCCGTTATTTCTCTCAGCCGGATTCGTTCGACATGAGCGAAACGTCGAGGGGCGTACGCGAAGATCGTGTCGTCTTTAAGGTGAACTTGAACAGTATATCCGTCTTCCACCGGCTCAATATTTGTATTTTCAACATCCAAAATTGCTTGAATTAAATTTTCTTTAATAGTATTATCAAAATCTATTTCATGATTATCTAACATTTCTTTTAATGTTTCAGGTTTCTCTTCCTCCACGCACAGAGGTAAATTTGGAAGTAAATTTTCCGACGTTTTTGACTCAACATTATTTACATTCCTTCCGGTGTAACATAAGGTAATCCCTTGGTTTTTTATAAACTCTCGACCAAGAATCAAATCGCTATTGAACGCATATTCTTTAATCACATATAATTCAATATATATTTTATTTTTTTCCAGACAACTTATTTCTAATTCTACCGGCGCTATACCAACGACGTTCAGAGGGATGTTTTTAATATTCACAAAAGCCCTTTTCGACGGTACAAGATTTTTAACAAAAGGTGAGATAAACTTTTTATATACATTATATTTACAAAAGGAAACGGGACTTTCGGTATCTATTATAGCAATTAAATTACAGTCTCTATTGCAGATCTTCTCTACCTTCACCGATGATTCGGGAAACTCTACCTTGGTGACCTTTTCATCCACCAGGGCTACCAGTTCGGGTTCCGGATCCACCTCAGTGACTGGCACTGCCGTTGAGACTGGCTTCTGGTGCTGGAGTGACGAAGATTTTCCTCCCTTCGCCTTGAGCGACGGGCAGTCGTATTGGCGATGCCCTTTCTGTTTGCAGTAAAAGCAGGTAAGGGTGTTCTTGCAGTCTTTGTGACTGTGCCCCTTTTTACCGCAGTTTCGACACTCACTTTCCTTTGATTTACCGGTAACTGTGGCACTTAACTTTTTACCCCTTTGATCACTTAACCCTTTTGTCACATACCGCATTTTTTTCAGAAAACACTCTAGCGAATTGTCCGCTATTAATAAGGCTGAAGCCTTCACGGTATTGTTCATTATGCCACTAATTAACAAGTGGATAGTGTCTTTCTCCGGCAAATCAAGTTGGTGGATAAGAGCAGATTTTTCAATCACATATTCGTCAAAAGTTTCTTTCGAAGGTAACCAAATTCTTGATTCTATTCTACTCATCACTTCAAAGAATGGCACTTCACGTTGAAATAATCGTAACATTTCAGATTTGAGTCCAACCCACGACAAAACGGCTGCTCCAGACTGAGCCTCGTACCAAGTTTTGGCAAACTTGACGAGCTTACTTGATGCCGCCACTAGAGTAACTCCATCCGACGCTCCATGAACTCCGGCTACCTGGTCTACTCGTCTCACCCAAAAGGTTATGCTCTCTTTATCGGTGCCGCCATACTCAGGTATCTGCGTGGCTAGCCATGACACCAAGTTTCCAGGTATGTGACCTTCTGTATCTCTTACAGGTCGGGTCTCGACTGGCGGGGACGGTGCTGATGAAGCCCCGGACCCGTCTTCTATCTCGAGCGGCTGTACTCCAACGGGGGCGGGTAAGGGGCGCCCTCCGTTCTGGTTCGACATCAACTGCACCAACAGTTGCATTGTTTGTTGTTGCTGACGCATCATCTCCGTCATCTCCCCCAGAGCGGAGCGCAATGCAACTGCAGTCAACGGCTCCTCAGGCTCGTTAACTGCTCCGACTTCCGACTCAGAACCGCTCGGGGTATCTTGACTGAAACCCTGCGCATTCTGTCTTTTGATGTGTGAAATTATCTTTTCAATAAGATCAAATTTATCATTTGAAATTGGTATTTTGTATTTCTTCGCCTCGGCCTGTACCCGCTCCAAGGTCGCTTCTTCCAGAGCGGCACGGCTCATCACGGACCGAGTGCGTGTCATTATATTTCTATTTCTTTTGTCCGACTTCAAATATTTATTTTCCTTATCACCTTCAAATCCACGAAGGTAACGAGTGATCAGAATGTACACGGCTGATCAGAGCTGTTCACGTTGTACACGGCTGATCAGAGCTGTTCACGTTGTACACGGCTGATCAGAGCTGTTCACGTGAACAAGCACACCGACTGTGACCTTGCGATTCAAGCCGTGAATCTGTATCTCATGGCCTTGCGATTCAAGCCGTGAATCTGTATCCCATGGCCTTGCGATTCAAGCCGTGAATCTGTATCCCATGGCCTTGCGATTCAAGCCGTGAATCTGTATCCCACTTCTGAATTTTTGTAAGAGCTTTCACAATTTTTTCCCGAAATTAGTATTAAATAAAGTATTGATTGCTTAATACCAATGATGTCCAATTGTGGGCTTTACTGGTGA